AAACAAATGTAAGACCAAGTTCGGCTGTTCCCTTTTATTATTTATTTACCTTTTCTCTTATTATTTATTTGAATGAAACTCTCTGAGAGGTTAGAAAGGAAAGTGTGTTTATGTACATCTGAAATGTCACAAGGGGCCCAAAGTAAAAAAAAAAATGGTTTAGGCTTTTACAAGTACGTGGATGAGCTTGTCCATGTTTTCATGTTAAACATGAATCAGAAAAGTAGTAACTTTAGCTTTTAAATAAATGTATACAAAAGTATCATATTTCACTCTGAAAAGTAGTGTAGAATAAAGTAGCATTCAATTGTACTCAAGCACATTGAGTAAATGCCTTTTGGTACTTTCCATGCCAAGTAGAAGTAGTATTAAGTAAATGCCTAAGGTGTGTATACCCTTTATCTACATGTTTACCAACTGATCATTAATCATGTGCATCATCAAAACTCTGTGATTAATGATGTGCTTCCAATCTGAACCCTGCTAATGTTTTCCTGCTGTTGTCGATGCATTTCAGGCAGATGGTGCTTTATAAAGAATTAGAGTCATTATGAGAGTGACGGATGTCTTTGGACACTTGAGTCTCCGGAAGCTTAATCCAAGGTCAACAAAGTATTTCAGTGCAGACACTCACATAACAGCATTCATGCAGCTTTGTCATGCAGGACCCAAGTGATTGATAAAAGGTTGTCGCTTTCATTTTTCTGATGAATACCTTACAATGAGTGCCGGCTGCCCCACTTCCACTTGAATTTGACTCGGCTGTCCACTGCGTCTGTTCAGCTCTTGGGATACAACAACATAACCTCCAACTGATGAGTCACACTGTCATTTCACATGGCAAGTGCAAGAGAGACCCCATACAAGTATACTCACACACATTCAAATACACCTACACACACACGCACGCACGCACACACGCGCGCACACACACACACACACACACACACACACACACACACACACACACACACACACACACACACACACACACACACACACACACACACACACACACACACACACACACACACACACACACAAGGTAATCAATGCTTCCCATCTGTGAGCCATCAATCAAGGCAGGAATGAATAGTGAGGAACGAAACACAAAATAAACGAAGCTTCATTTTATTTCTCTGAAAGACAAACAATGCCAAGATGTTTCGGTTGGTCAATATGTTTAACAACAGCTGTCAGTGTACAAAAGGTTGTATAACAGCCCGGTCAGCATCTCACCTTGATCTCTGAATCCCTTTTGTTATTTAGCACAAAACAACAACAAGCCTTTCACAATAATGGCCAGCAAATCAATAGCAAAGCTCTCACTTAAAAATGTTCACCAGTTTAAATAGATAGTTTCTTTTGTCAGTCTATTACGTCCTTCTGTTAGTATCCAGTGCGCATTGGTGGCTGCTATGGGGCATATGTATACATGTATACTGTTAACCTTGGGAAATCTTTGAGGAGGATCAATAAGTTGTTGTAAGAAAGGTGATGACAAGATTTAAAAATTGTTATTGGAAAGCAATACAAGTATACTGAATGCCGAGTTATAGACACAACTATTCCACATTTCTAAACATCCAAGGTTTTCATGTTTTGGTTTCATAGAGCTAGAATGTAGGCTTAAGAAAATATGTATGATCTTTTAACAGAAAGTCAAGGAAAACTTTGATTTGAACAGAAAGGGGCCGATAAGAAAGTCACTCTTCAAGTGTATAAGATGTGATCTGCTAGCGCGACAAACTGCATAAGACTCAGTACAATTTAATTCCCAAATCCTTGCAGAATTACAACCAACAAGGAAATTGATATTAATCTGTGCTACAACTGGTTAAGCTTGAAGAGGGAAGTAGATTTCCAAACACCTCTGGAGGCACTCCATGCTCATCATGAGCTTCATAAATCCAACAGGCAGTGGTGGGAAGAGATACACTGAATTTATGGAGCCGGAGCAGAAGGAAAAGCATGAGCATGAAGAAATAAACTTGACATATAAGTGACATACAGGTGGCGGTGAGTGTTTATGTGCGTGTGTCACTCCTGTAAGAGTTATGTGGCACTGTGTGTGCTGAGGATATGCACTGTGACATGCAGGTTGGTGACGCACTGCAAAAACGTGTCATCTGTAATGCCGCAGTGGAAAGATTGCGAGACAGGCACTCAGAGAGGAGATGAGAGGAGATAGAGGCAGCCGGAATTAATTAAACTGTAAATCAGTTGCAGTTTGTTGTGTGTGTTCACTGACTTTCCCTTGGAGAGAGAAATAAACCTGAAAATTAGAGTGATGAATGGACTGCGGGTAAACGTATAAAGCACATAAGTGCGTTGTTAAACCCATTAGCCTTCGTTAGACTTCCCACCCACACAAATCCTCAGCTGTTCAAGGTATCCACAAGTGGGCAGACATTATCTCAGTTATGGGAGATAAACGAGAGGTAAATGCATGAACTCCTTCTGGTTCACTTAACATCGTCATGTTTACTCAGATAGAAACCCATACATCCACAAACTGCTTCCCTGCATGCGCATTATGTCACAACAAACTAAGTGCACTGTCTGAATATTTCTTCTGGTGGAATAATAAGTGAACCCAGACCCTGTTTAGCATTGCAGATCTAAATAGCTCAGAAGGTCAAATACATCAGAGTAAAAGCAGAACCCCACAGAACGGAAGGTTGTTTTAAGAAATGTCTTTATAATGGAATAAAAATGTCAACATAACAAAATAAAGGATATAAAATACAGCAGCCAAACCCTGCCAGTTTGTTTTGTGATGCTAAGGTCACCAAGTGTTTCAGTGGGACCTGTTTTAATTCTTACTCAACCGCTCTCCAGGCCTTCAAGGTAATTGGCAATCTCATTCCAACTACGCTTGATTTAGCACCCCTGTAAATGTTTTTAGTGCTCAAGAAGTTAGCATCGGGTGAAGCGAGAGCTTTCTTACTCTCATGAGTTTCTTAGTGACATTCAGCAAATGAATAGGAACTTTTTTTTATAAAACTGGTAATGGAATGTGGGTTTCCTCTATATGCTTGGCAAATAAACTATAACAAGTTATTATACAGTATAAAGAAAAATAGAAAGCTACCATTGGCTGTCTATGAAGACTTTCTGTATGTGTGTTCAAATGGCATTATGTTTCCCTATAACACAATAAACATGTAGGTCTGTCTCATTAACATAATCAACTTGTTACTGTGACAAAAAAACAACAACACATTGGACCATTACTGTGGAACATGTTGATCATACTGTATGTAGAAACCATCTGTGGGGCATTAATAATTCATTAGTTGAAGATTAGGTACATTGGGACTATTGGTGCTTCAGCAGATGACACCATAATTCCTCTGTGACTCCCAGTCATTCTGTTCGGTGCCAAATTAAAGCAGATTCAGTGCAGTTTCAAACACTGATGTGTACACGTGGGAGTTAAGACACAATGCAGACCTGAATTAAAATGCCATCTGAAGTGCTGAAACACTTTCAGTAAATGATTGGACTGATATTGAAAAACGTGGGGGAGGGGAGTGGGGGTCTCTTGATTAGAAATTCCTCTCACTTGTGACTCCAGTCAGCCAATTGTTCAGAATCATTAATTCACAGAAAACTCTAAAGTTAGTACAATTGCGCTAAAGTTCCTTCCAGCTCTGTCAGCAGTTGATGCAGCATAATTTCACATCTTCAGCTCCTAAAACTGCATACCAATCACGGTCCTCAATGCAAATGACAGAATTATTTTACAACAAGGTGACAGTGATCACTCACATATGTGTCAGTTTGTGTATGCGTGAGATCTGAGATGTAAGTTCTTAGGATGCAGCATAAACATCCACACATACAGTATGAACATCTGTATGTAGGTAGGATACTCATTAGGATTCATCATGTATCTTTGTTGTATAGGAATTAAAAAATGTTTCCCCGATATTTAAGTTATTTCTCCGGGAATAATAACTATTTCTATTGGTAGAGAAATGGCAACCTGAGAGGGTGGGTTTATTTTCTAAGGCTTTTGGGACCATTTTCATTCATATATTCAACTTTCAGATTTATCTCAGAGGGGATAATGAACTATCTAAGTTCTATGGTTAGTCTAATCATTAATAATTCCTTCTTTCATTCTTTTGTTTGATGGAAATTTGTAATAAGAACCTTGTAGGATTTAAGTTGGCTTTGTAATGTGTCGAAGATACATTTTTATTTTTTTTACTTTTATTGTCATTACATAGTAGGTACTAGTAACGAAACGGTTTCTCTGCATTTGACCCATCCTAGTGTTAGGAGCAGTGGGCTGCCATTATGTACGGCGCCCGGGGAGCAGTGTAGGGAATGGTGCCTTGCTCAGGGACACCTCGGGAGCACTTGGTCTTGCCGGGACTTGAACTGGTGACCTTCCAGTTGCCAAGCCAAGTCCCTATGGACTTTGCCACCACCAAATTGAAGAGGTGGTTTTGATTTATCCTGCTGGATTTGTGATTTATATTGATTTTATGACATGTCACA